AATCAATGTTTCTATAAATCCTGTAGCACTGAGTAGAGTTTTATCAGTGGTTTTAACCACATTACACGACAAGATATAAATAATTTCACTTTCTAGATACATAAAAAATACCATACAAGAATTGCACTATTTTGTGCATTGCACATTGCTGCTAAGGAATAAACAATGTACTGTGAAGGAAAATATGTCCACAAGGCATGTTCCTGATTATTTCAAGTAAGACCAGCTATTAGGTATCTATGTTAATCAACTAATTGCAGAAAGGCAATCTTTTATGCAAAAAATTCCCAAAGTTAATGTGACTATCAAACTACATTTTACTCATGACTTCATATCAAACTTCATAAAAAATTAATGTGACTATCAAACTACATTTTACTCATGACTTCATATCAAACTTCATAAAAAATTCTGTTAAGCCAGATGTGCCAATTGCAACAATACAGTCAGCTAACAGATAATGGAAAGATGAAATATAGATTTATCTTACGTTTTTTTCTAATCAAAATTGAAAGCACTGCCTTTATACTCCATACAGTTCTTTCTATTACAAAAATCTTATCTGTCTTCTATTAAATATGTATCCAGAAAACAATTTTATCCCTGATAGTGATGTTACTAGCTGTGGAACTGTGGAACAAGTCTGAATATAAGGAACAGAACGATTTGCAGCTGCTAAAACGAATGTATTAAACCCTCTTTTCACTTTCTATTTTAGTCATGGTTTTGCTGCTGCCAGCACTTTCCCTGATGTGATGCTTAGCAGTGACAATACCAATTGGCACATACACAGATAGATATAAATGTGTGCTTCAGAGACAGGCAGGGATTGAATAGAGCAAGTAGCAGCAATTGGTAAAGCCAGGGTTATTGAGATCTGTTTGTGATTAGAAAGGCTTAAACGAAAATCTTGTGAAAAATATCAGCTAAAATTACTTTATTAATTTCAAGTAGAAAATTAATTTTACTTTATCTTTGACATAAATATGTTGAGCTTTCTTATTATTGTTTTATATTTATCAAGTTCCCCAAGTAGGAATGAATTATTTATTTTCTTTTAAGAAAGTGCCTATTCAAAAGATCACAAATAAAACACCTACAACCATCACTCATTAGCTGATGTTCAGACATTTTTATCAACACTTTCCACCTTTTTTTAGCAGGAGAGGAATAAAACTATATTTCTTTTCTGAAGTCTGTGTACTCGTGCCATCTTTCAAATGCTATAAGTCTGACTACACCATATATCATATATATGACATACACCATATATATTAGAGATATCTAGATTTTACCATACCAGTTATTCTCGTGTAAGTTTTCACATTGTGGTAGAACTGTGAGAAGTCAAGAGAGTAAAGAAAGAAATAGCCTGGGTAGTCTAAGGGATATAGATAAAGGCTACTCCTACAGAGGTTCTATGTGCAATCCGTATTAGGACACTGCCCTGGTATTTAGATGGTTCTGTAAATTGATAATTTAATAATTGTATTAGTTTAAATGAATGCAGTAATTAAAATGGATTCAAAATAATGGAAAAATCGGGGAAAAGAGAAAAGTTAAAATAGGAAGAAAAGTGAGAATGTGCATTTATATAACTTTATTTTAAAAGAAAATCATATAAATCTAATGAAAAATGAATATATGAAAATCATATAAATCCTATGAAAAATGCTCTTATTTTTAATTAAATGAAATAACACTCAATTCATGTTATATAATAATATAGTACCTATGCTATAAATTAATATTCCATAGGTTTTAAAACAGATCTCATGAACCTAATTATTTTGTCGATTATTTTTTTATTTTGAAACTGAACACAGACTTCTGAAAGAAAAGTATCCTTCATATTTCCAAAGACAATCTAAAAGCTACTTCAGGAAAATAATTTCTTGAATTCTGAAACAAAGATATTTTTACCAAAAAAAATTAAGATAGGTATTAACTGGGACAATGCTGTTTTTCTGAAAATATGTAGCAATCATATTTAGTTAAGAGTGAATGGAAAACAAAGGTGGGTAAGCAAAAGCCTGGGTATTTTTTTTTTAGTTTTTTTTTTTCTTTATTTTCTCTTAGGGTTTTGGTGTGGGGAGCTTGAGGTTGGTTGTGCATGGTTTTTGCTGTTGATTTGGTTTTTTTAATTCAAACAAAAGCACACTGGTATCTCATTTCTTAATAATAAAATTCTGTTGACTTTGTTTCATATTTTACCTTCAAACCATTATTTTGTTTTTTGTTTTGTTAATTATCTAAAGCATAATTCATTATGATTGGGTTAACATTTCAGAGTATAACAAAAAATATGTACCTGTTTACATTTGCATTCTAAAATTTCACATAAATAAAAACCCACTTAAAAATATTAGGGGTTTTGAGATTTTTTTTTTTTAAACACAGCCATTACTCTCTCAATAAAAATATTCCCATGTAACCTTTCTCTTAAAAGCTTAAGTGGATTTTTTTGTTTTCTCCCCTGATTCTGAGCTATGAAGTCCTTTATTCACTGTAGTTTTCCATTTTTATTTCTTGACTTTCATAAGGACGTCACTTTAGGTAGTCAGACATTAAAATGTTTTTTTATTCTAATTAGAAAATTCATAACAGTTTATTACCTTTGACAAAGAAAGAACTTCATTATACATACATCTTGGGGAGCAGATGGAAATGTAGTGTGAACAACCACGCATAAAATTTCGATTCCAAAATTCTGAAGAGAAGCAACAGAACTGCACTTTAAAACAAAAGAAAGGGAAACCATGAAAAACTTATCAATATTTTTTTTTTTAAATGTGGAGGAAGAAAGAGGGAAAGGGCATGAAGAATTTGTTATGCACTCTTTTTCTTACACAGGATGTGTGTATAAGAGGAAAACATTTACAAGGCGTTATTGTATGTTCTTTACTCCCAATCTTAATTGTCCAGGAACTTGTCAAGCCAAGGAAGGAAAATAGACATAGATATAATTTATGCTTCTGGTTAGAAGATAGATGTCTAAATATTCTTATATTGAAATGAAGGAGCAAAAGTCAGTAAAAAGAGAAACTGGTTTAGCAGTAATCTATGTTGCCATACGTCTTCAAGTGTGGTAATGTACTTCTGTGTCATTCTGCCCACATCTTCTTATGTAGAAGTTTTAATCAAGAAGAACCACTGAAGCAGTAAAGTGAATCTTGTTTATTTATAAGAAGTTCAGGATTATCTACTTATCATCACTTCTTAATCCTGTTTTTTCCATTCAGCTTCTCTTCAATGGACATATAGATGTATTTCTTGTTTACTGCAGTCTAAATAATTCATGACTGAAAAGGAATGAAGAAGATATTCTCATATATTCTATTATATTTATTTATTTTTATTTATTTATTTTTACTCCATTATTGCAACTAATATATGTTTCAGTGTGTTTTTCTTGACTACTTCATATAATTCCAGATTGTCCCTGTGGGATATTACAAGTGCATTTCAAACAGAAAACACTCAAAGCAGATTCTGGCTGAAAATTCACTGCTTTGTGCTCTTTAGTTTTCACACCACCTTCCCCATTGTCACCAACTATCAGATAACTAATCATAGTCAATGATATAAAAAAGCAAGTATCAAGAGGAAAATTACTTCTAGGGGACAAGACAGATTATGTGAAGTTGTATTATACAGGAAAACTGAATTTGTAAATTAGTTCTTAATAACAGGAACACTAGGTGAGCTTGTGTACAGCCCTGAGAGAGGCACAGAGGTGTTGTAGTCATGCTCTATTTACAACATTGCAGCTAATGGGAACCAAGACAAAGGAATGATCCAAATGGTGACCAAAAGCTGAACTTTGCTTGATTGACTTGAAAATATATATTACTTTTCCTGCCACCACATATGCTAATGCTAATCTGCCACCCCATATGCTAAATGTGCATGCTTTACATGTATGACAAAAGTGTCTCAAACTCCACCTAATAGTGAAGTAACATCAAATGAAACATCACCTTTTCCAACCCTCAAAGAAAACAAATATAACCTAGGGGGGAGATGTGAAGAAGGGAGAAGACTCCACCTCTGTATCCTAGGATGGTCGATGAGCTGTACTTATCTCCTCCCTCACAGTGACACCATCAGGTAAGCTATATTTCACAGTAATACTGCTGCTTATGCTTTCTGATATCAGTGTATTTATCAACAGAAATTTCTGAACCTTATCCTGTCATAACAATCACACTATTTGTGAGTCTGAAATCTTACTGAATGTGTCCGGACTTAACGTGCAACCTACACAATTTCTGCAAATAGGATTGTAGTTGTGACCAGACTTGCAGTGTAACCGTGCTTTTAGTGCATCTGGCACCTTACCCAACTTACAGTGACAAATTATTTACTCTACTATTTTATTTGTGAACGTCTCCTGGGGACTCTATCAGACAGATACCATAGTGACAAAAGGGGGGCACCTCTGCACCCACTACATCTACTCTGTTACAGTAATAGCAGCCAACATGTTCTTGTCAGTTCTTTTTCCTTTGTGATTGGCAGACTCAGTGATGCACCTCCTCTTTTTGGTCCATCCAGTTTCTGCATCACGTATTTGTCTCCTGGACACAGGAATGCACTTGCTTTCCTTGTGCTCACCATAATCTTCTTTCTATGAAATCTGTGGTTGCCAGATTCATGTAAGAGTCAGCTTCTAAGATGAAGAGATATCTTCTGTCAGCTAAAAAGAAAATATACCATCAGAGTTCAACTTCATCCTGTCCTACTGAGACCTCTGATTACCTTTGATCTATTTAAGATTTTCTTTAGCATTATACTTGTTGAAAAGAGTGGAAGCTGTAGTACTGGACAAGCTTTGGCAATCTGTCTGAAGTGTCCTGGGTCCAAGAGATGTAGCAAACCTCTAAAGATAACAGATCTTTTGAAAATGAGCCCAACACTACTTTTATATATTATTTCCTCTTCATGTTTCAGTCAGGTACAGCTGGACCAAATGCCTTCCTTAGCACAAGTTGCTCCTCTCTGAAAGCATGCTGAAGGGTAAAACAGACCTCTTTTTGTTGACAGAAGTCACAAGACCTCTTTAGATCTCTGAGTGGTAAGGCAGAGAGGTGAAAGGTTGAGAGATATGAATGGAGGGGAAGAAATGTAAGTTCATAATCATGTTCGAAATAGCTTTTAGATGTAATTCTTTAGAAATAAATTTGAAGCCTTGTCTGATGTTAAGTGCTGTAATATCCAGAACCTTGCATTTTGAGTGAGCCTATAAAATTTCCTTGTGTGGAGTTAAAACTTTGTTAGGTAAAGTACCTGATATAACTGAAGCAGAATTTTAATTCTGCAATAATTTAGTACAAGTATTTGCTGACAAAGTTTTTACACCTTCAGAGAGATAAAGCTTAGATCTTGCTTAGAAAATATTTGAAAGGTATATCATTATAATGTATCAGTTCACTGAAAAATCTTTAGTTAAGTTTGCAGTGTTTCAACACAAATATTTTATTTTTTTTAAGTATTTTACAATTTAAATCTTATTTTAAAAACTACAGCTATTCTTGTGAATTACCTGATGGAAGTGCTGACGACTGACTCTGGATATGTTATACTAGGACATACCATGAGCTCTCAAACACACAGGTTTGAGACAGCAGGATAACTGGGTGTGTACTAAAACATATTTCACAACAATCTTAACAAACATTCACAAATTGTATCTGGTAACACTGTTGCTTCCCCACTTTTGGCAACAGACTCATACTGCCCATTCATGAAATGTAAGCCACATCCACTTTACATTAAACTTCAAAGCTTTAGTAGAAGATAGACAAACACGACAAATTCAGAGTGCAAGCAGAATAAAGCAGGAGAAACACTTGCCATAATTAGTGGAGAATTTACTAAGTGAAAGGAAAGCTGCTGGTTTACAAGCTTAAAGGGAATACGCAGATAAGGGTTTAGTCCCTGCTAACCTGACTGACTCCTTCATACCAGATCTGGTGAGCAACTTAACACTGGTTATTTGAAGTGTAAAAAAAGCCTAACAGTTTTCCAACTGCCAACAAGTGCCAAAATCCCTTTTTTGATAGGAAAAAAAAAATCACATTCTTAGAAGATTGATTCTAATTCATTCCAGTTGCTTAAAAAATTAATTTCAAAATGAAATTATGAGTTATTACTATAGGCCATTGATAGTTGTTACTGGGTCACTCAATGAGAATTTTTTCTCAGAGGCTGATGTAAATCACCCTTTGCTTGTACAATTTTGGTATTAATTTTTCTGCTGTTACTGTTTGCTTACTTATTTCATTGCTGGTTCCATAAATTGTTCTTATTTTAACCTTCTCACCTTTTTGTGCCTCTGACTCTCTATCCCCAGAGCGAGAAACGGGAGGGAAAAGATGGGGAGTGAGCTAGTGGCACCTGGTTTGGGAGAGTCTCAGGGAGATTTCCCTTATATTTAAGACTTCCAATAGCATAAAAAACACTAAACAAATAAGAAATTTGAAAGTCTCTTTGTGGAATAAAGTCATTAGTAGTCAAAGAAATCAGAAGGAACACTTTCTAGTCATACTGGACATGAAAAACATAAATATTAATTAAAAAATTACAGATGAGATCATGCAGTTTATGTAAAGGTCAACATATTTTTTTAATTTTAGTTGGTTAAATATTTGAAAGAATTTTGAGATCACACAAGTTTATAGTGGAAATAACGCAATTTGAAACTCTAAAGGTGTTCAATTAATAGCATTTTAATACTGAAAAATTATCTTTCAGTCTACCTAAAAGAAAAAAGAAAACTACATAGTTAAGTCTGATGGACTCTGGAATTATTTCTTTCTATAACATTATTAACTAAGTGGAGTGCAGAATTTATTGCCAGTTGGTTCTTCTGGTGTTTGGACATAGACTATAGAAGTTTCATACTCATAACTGTCAACATTTTGATTATCCTTTTATTCTTAAAAAAAAACTGTGTGTTTTATTATATCTCAAGTGTTAAAATTAACTTCTGCATAGAGAAAACTTGTAAAAAGGAAGTGTGTGAAAGTGTTTTTTTTAAGTTCAGAAAGTGAGAAAATGAGATTATTGAAAACATAATTTATGTATTATTAACAATACAGGTGTATGTAATTAAAAATAGATATTTTTTTACATTGTGCACTGGCATAATTATATACAACTTTTGTGCAGACACTATAATGTATACATCTATATACAGAATATTTCTACCTCTATAATATATCTGTATGTAATCACTACATCTATAATATTTATACATAATAGCACCTAAATTCAGCCTTTTCCAGTGCTCAGTCATCCTCACAGTAGAAAACTCCAGGAAATATTTGTCATTGGGTAGGTTTTTGAGGTGTGGCACAGGTTGCCCAGGGATTTCTTTGAGTCTCCAATTCTGGAAATATTCAAAAGCCATCTGGACATGGTCCTGGGCAACTAGCTGTAAGTGGCCCTGCTTGAGCAGTGGAGTCTTGGACCAGATGACATTCAGAGGTCCCTTCCAGCCTCAACCTTTATGTGATTCTGTGGTCTGTGGTATAAATACAAAGACTCAACACAAATAGTTGACCCAGCAACAACACAGTCTTTTCCTGTATAAATGCTTACTTCTTTAAGATTTTTGTATAAACTTTTGACCCATCTCAAAGGGAATATTAGAACAATTAGTTTCTGAACTGAGCAGACCTGAAGGGAAATTCTAACAGTTGAAGTCAATAACAACTGCAGTTAATTTCAGCATAATCAGTATTCCACTGAGTGGTTTTTTATCTAAAGAGTACAGATATGATTAAATCAAAATGTGTTTTTCTCATTCAATAAAAGGCATTTACCCACAGAAAGACATTTCAGTCATTGCAAGATTATTTTTATTTTTTTTAATAGATTTGGAAAACATTCAAAATTTAGACTCAAACAGGAATTTTCCCGGTAAATAAACATAGGAAGTCAAAGGAAAAGTTTGTTTTCTACTGAAATGTACTTCAGTTTTTCTTCACTGTCTTTTTTTCATCCCATAACCTTGTTTTATATTTATTTCTACTTTGTGAAAATCACCAGTTTAATATTTACTAGTGGTTTAACACAATGACATAGAGGGAATTACGTTCCCCAATAACTGGCAACTTGTCCTACTTGCTGGATGGTCCAATGTGATGTCCACACACAGAGGCTCAAAATAGGAAGGATATTAATATAGAATACAGTTAGAAATAGGATTTAGTAAGAGGATTCAGTAAGAATGTAGGACAGTCACAGTAGCATTCAGTGTGACAAGTACAATGGCCACCTTCTGCTAATACTCAATCTATCACTTTTATCCCATTTTTTCCAAACTTGTTCTTTCTGGGTTGGTGCTGATCCCTCCAGCATTCCATAAAAATTGCTGTATAATCTCCAGAATCTCTTCTCTGCTCCAAAATAGCTTTCCCCTCTGCCCCATACTAAGTCTTATGTCCCTTAATGCAGCATCTCCCCTAGTTTCCTTGGATTTACCCACTTATCAAAATGTTTGAATGTCATACAGTGACTTTCAGCTGCACACTTCTAGAAGGAATATAGAAAGATGAAATTCAATTGTTTTTGTTGAAAAATGATGTGATATTCATGCTCTTTGACAGTCATTAAAAAAACCCCCAGACTTTAGAATACACATTTCAGCATTCATTGCAAGACCAAGGTGAAGTTCAGTTACTGCTATGTAGATCAAATATCATGCTTTGAAGCACCACTACTATTTTTTTTGGAAGAATATTTTACTGAAAGCAGAGGCCTGCAACAGCTCCAAAGTAGCAATACACTAATCAGAACACAATTCTGCTTGCCTTGAGCACGAATAGAAGTATATTATGATAGTTGATAGTTATGATAGATATAACCACAATATGCAAATAATTTCTAACACCATAAAGTCAAGCTTAGGAACAACCTATAACAATTTTACTTTAGCTTGTGACACAAAAAACCAAAGATATATGTGGGTCCAGTTAGCAAAAGGTAACTATATTTTTTGCATATTGGTGAGAAAAAATCACTTATATTAAAAAAATGAAACCAATCCAAAGCAAAGATCCTCTTGAGCAATTTGTTGAAATCTTTGTGACAAATCAGCTTTTAAAAAGGGACTTTAAACAAAATAACTGAAGTTAGATATAAAGAGTTATTGAGATGGTGATGCAAAAAATTCTTAAACATGTCTATGTTAATGTAATTTTTTTCTGAAGATTGTTGAAATACTGCACTAAAACATTCTGGGATGAATATTTTAAAAATATTCCTACAAAATTGTTTTCTAAATGTTGCTTATTAAAACTGAATGAGTTATATAGTTATGATTAGAAGGAGGAGATTGCTATCCATTACATTTGTTACTGTTGTTTCAAAACATATTTAAAGAATGTAAGAATATATCAAATTACTGAGAATTTTGATTATGCAGTTAACATTAAGTTGTCAGGAGAAAAATAACAATTGTTTGCTTGTCAAGGTCTCTTGATCAGGTCTCTTTTTCTTAAGAAAATATAAATACTGAAAATTGCTTTAAAAAAAAGTCCTAATATCTTTCAGTAATCTAAGAACATACATAAACTATCAAAAATTAAAGAAGGTAGAGTAGTACAGGCAGAAAGTTCAGAAAAAGGAATGTGAGTCAAAATTGACTTCAAAACCTCTTGATTTTATCAAAATTATGCCATGTTGACACTTGACAATCTGTCTCAAAGCATTTTTTGAGATGAAAAGAAAATACACTCCTAAGTATTTGAATGTATAAGAACCTACCTAGTTGATAGACCAAAAGCAAGTGGTACTTACTCTGTCCAGCATTTTATTTGGTAGTTGTAGCATTGTTGCCATTTACCAGAACCAACTGTCAGCTAGAGCGTAGAGATGAAACACAGATAATGAGCAGGTGTGTCACTAAGGCAAGCTACCACACCCAGAGTTCTGGCCCAAAGCTATAAATAAATCTACTCCTCATCAGAGAAAACCATCCAAGAGGTCATTTTTTTTGAAAGGCCTAGGGAAACTGAGAATGCTACCATTTCTGAAGGCTTTATGGGCTTAACTGTGATTAAAAGTGACAACCAACTTTCCCTCTCAGCTGTGTGCTGAGATGACCTTACTGCAGCGTGCCTGTATATTCATATATTTGCACTGCTAACTCTGCTTTGCAGAGATTGTTAGTGATAATTATTGTTTGTAGTCTTTCATGCCAGAAATATAGCTAAATATAGTTCATCAATTGGTAATATTTTTTCTATTTAACATAAGGGATCCCAAGAAAATAATGTGATCTTTCTTCTTAATTTGTGCCATTTACATTTGTTTCTGACAAAATATGCCTTTGGCTATAGAAAATTAGTATTAAACAAAAATAATAAATATGTTGTAGTGGCAGTCATTCTAACACTGAAGGCTTGAAAAAGCAAAAAAATTTCAGTATGCCTTAATTATAAATTTTGATCTAAAAAAAAAAAATCTGAAACACCCTTTATATTTTTCTTCTAGTAGATGGGAAAATAAACCTGACAAAACCAAACCACAAAAGAAAGCGTACAATCACCCTGCTTAGCAACAGTGAAGAGTGAAATAATTCATGAAGAGATAATGAGATGAAAGAGAAATCTCTCATGATTTACTTCTTAAGTACTTACTACTTACATTTTTCATCTATATAAATCTATCTTCTAGCCCTGTGTAAAAACATATTAATAATAAAGCACAGTTCTGTAAGAATGCATATTTGAAAGTTAAGTCCCCTAGTAGTTAAATTCAGTCTTTTGTACTTGTGCTTGGACTTGTAAATTTAAATGCACTTTTGTTTTTTATCCCAGTCATTCTTCTGCTACAGTTTTTCAGCCAGAGTGGTTACAGAAAGCTTGAATATGCACGTACATTTGCACATATAAGCACAACACCAACAATATTCAGCTGACTGGGCAAGAACACAAACCTATCAAAAATGAGGAAACTCTGGATATGAGAATTGCATAGTCAGTAGTTATTATGTCTATGCTGTTCTATTATTTAGACACAATAAATGTAGTATGATCTTCATATGTATTAGGGGAATAGAAATCCAGATTTGCAGCTTCAAAAACTTGAATATAATTTAGGGTTATATTCCTGAATTAAGAGGATTTCAGGGTTTTATTCAGCCATCCATCTTTAAGTTTCTTCTGTCATTACGATGTTAATAGCTTCTCATATACTTCTGACCACTTTTACCTTGACCAAAGTAAAAAATTCTTGTTCCTATATATTGTTCATCAAATTATGTCTAGAAAGAATCAACAGCCTCACTGTAAAAAAAATTTCCTTCCCAAATAGCAGATGAATTTTTGTCCTCCCAAAATTATTAGCTCTTAGTTCAACACATGTATACATTTTTTCTGTAGTGCTTTACATATTCTAAACTGAAACACAGCTGCTTTAATAGTTGCACAAACATGTCTTATTATCCCAGAGATTCTCATTATTATTATTATTATTATTATTATTATTATTATTATTATTATTATTATTATTCAGAGGAAGCTTTATGTACAAGGTACTATTTTTTACTATTTTATTATTATTTTACTATTTGGTAGTATGAAGAATGAATTTAACTACCACAGAAAGAGAACACCTGCGTATGGAAGTAATTCTCCCTATGGTATTAGATAAAAAAAGTGGAAAAAATTTATTCAGTATAATGCCAACTTGCTATAGCAATTTAACCTCTTAAGCTTCTTTGACTATATAGTGAGCTGAGCAAAAGTGAGACTTCTGTTAACTCCAACTAAAAACAAGTATTCAGAAACATAAGTGTTCCTGCCATGGAGAAAGTAATGTGAAACCCTTTTCAGAATTTTCATGTCATAAAGCTGCTAAAAATGTCATTTCAAAATGTTTTGATACAGATCCACAGCAAGTGTAAATCAGTATAAATTTATTGAATTAACATAATCTTGTGTGGTTCAATAATGAGACTTTGTGGCAAGAATACATATTAGATTGCACAAGGTAAATGGGGATGGAGTATGATGATGCATAAAATCCCTAATTCAATGTTGGAGGTTGGACTAGATGACCCCACCAGCGGTCCTTCCCAATCGCTTCACCCATTCTGTGATTCTGTGCTTCTGTTATAATTTTAAAAGGTCTAATAAAATATTTTCAAAATACATTCACACAAGAAGATGTTCGACTGCGTTTTTTCCTCTTAAGGAATGACTTGATGTGAATGGTGTCTGCTGATGCTAACAACCTATGAACCTTACTTGGTTGGTCATTTCCCTTTGGAAATGAAGATGGAGTCAAAATTTCAGGTTTTCTAACCACATAACCAAAAAAATTAGCAAGAAACATTTCTGTGCTTGAAAGCGTTTAAATAATGATTTAACATATATCTCAGAATAAACAAAAAACAAATAAAAGAAAGGCACACACTTTTTTAATGCTGAGGAAATACTTTTATATATAATTTATTTGAGTGATTTTTTTTTTTTAATCCACGTAAAAAATCTACTTAAAATGGAGTATGCATAGCTTAAGTGAATATGAACCAGTAGGTCGTGTTCCTTCTTACCTTTCATAACCAGTTCTTAATGACAGGGTACTGGAAAACTCCTCTTATTTTTAAGTTAAGAAAAATACATATAGCTTTTTTAGTATCTATCTCTTCTCATTTGTGTTGAGCATATCCTTTTTTTATGTTTTATTTTTCAATAATTAAAATGTTCAAAAGGTCTACTTTTTCTTCCCAACTCTCCTCCCCACTGTGGGTATAGGAGGGAGGAAATGACTGTGGTGCTTTGTTACCAGCTGGGATTAAAAAATGGCAGGGCAATAAAACCAGACCAAATTAAACAAAATAGGAATGCAGGAAAAGTAAGGTGACTTATTCTACTGTACTGTACAGTCTCAGATATGCAAATCATATGTGTTTGTACATACATAAAACCAAACATAACACAATTGAAATTGAGGGCTTAAGTTCAACAACTTTCTCCTATTATAGGATCAGTTTTTCTGTCAAATTTTCAGAGGACAGCTCATCACAACTCATCACCTCTTATCTATTATATTTTTCTATGTGCCTAAATTTAGTTGAACCAGATCTCAGCTTTATGTTCTATCTCAGAAAGAGCAAAAGTAGTCAGGTCAGATAAGCGGAGAGAAAATGGACATAAAGAAGACAGTTAATAGTAAGTTGAATTTTCATTAGAATGTATTGGTCCACTTTTTCAATGTGATTATATTATCCAGAAGAAAAAGGTGCCTTTTACTTCTCTGATGATACTTTAAGCACATAAAGTCACAGATTTAAAGAAGTGCTCTGATGTCACTGTGTTCTAAAGGCATACCATAAGGTCTCACAACTTCATCTGCAAATAAATCATTTACTTTTGTATATGAGACAGTAATGTTGGAAGATATCTTTCATACTTCAGAAACTGGAGATACTTTTAAATAATGAAGTACATAAAACTTTGCAGATTTTTTTCTAAAGGAAAAATTTACATAAGTGTCTTTTGCATCTTCCAAAATCTCACATAGGATGAGATATAGTCACTTAAGCATATATAAAAATATATGCTAATTATTTAATACAACAGAATTGACTGTAAATTAAAGATATATTCATGTGCTCACCTGTCTGTTCAAAACAGTTCCTGTGTATCTTTGAAAACTGGATCCTTACAGGAGGAATTCCTCTCTGTTAGACTGGAACATTAACAAGCTGGACATGTACATTTGAGTTCCTTGTTACCATTCAGTGCAAATGAAGAGAAACGTGCTCAGGGAGTGATTCCTTTGCTTCTGCTCTAATTCCAAGCAGATCACCAGAAAGAGCAACTTGTTTGTCTCTGAAGGTGACCTTATGAGGCAACTTCAGAAAAATTTCTTCTTTCATGGTCTTGTGCAATTGTAGTAAAATAAAACAATAGGGAAGGGGGAGGCCGTGGGAGGAATCCCTCTCCAGCTCTTACAGTAATTTAAGTTGGATATTTTTTCTTAGTTATATGAATTTTTGTTCCATTTTTCATATCTTGTCCTTGATTCAGACAATGCTGGTATTAACTTGTACACTTTCCAAGGTAAAGACCTGTAGTTTTGCTCTCAGTATGAATCCATGAAGGTACAGCCATCTTTTAATAATCTGAGGGCAAATTGACCAGTTCTCTTATGGGACTTATTAATGTCACCGGCTAATTTATTTTTATTACTTGTATTTGGCATTTTAATAGTAATATATTCTTTGGGTTTTCTGCTTTTATTGCTGAGCAGCACTTTCATACAGTCAAAGTCTCTTCTGCTTCTCGGTTTACTCTATCAACATATAGGCTGGAGATGCACAAGAATTTGGGAGGGGACACAGGAAAGCTGAGTCACCAAAAGGATATTCCATGCCATATAATATCATGCTCAGTATAGCAGCTGGGAAGGGAGATGGAAAGGCTGGATGTTCAGAGTTACTGTGTTTGTCTTCCCAAACACTGTTACATGTAATAGAGCTGTGCTTTCCTAGAGGTGGCTGAACTCCTGCCTGCCCATGGGAAGCTCTGAATTAATTCCTTGTTTTCTTTTGCTTGCACATACAGCTTTTGCTTTATCTATTAAACAGTTTATCTCAATGACTTTCCCGGTTTTACCTTTCTGATTCTCTCCCTATCCCACCAGCGGAGAGTGTGAGTGACTGTGCAGGGCTTAGGCACAACAGTTTGCTTTTCTTTCTCAGCTAGACAGCTTCTATGTTCTGCCAGATAAGAAAGGGTTAACTGTAAAAAATAGAACAATAAAAAAAATGTAAAAAAAAACAGATTTTTTTTTGTATCATCATGCATATATTAACAAAATTTATAAAGTGTACATAGGACATCATTTTCCAAGCTGGCCTGCAGACATGCTGGTAAGATCTCCCTAGCAACCCTATAATAGCAATCATAAGGCAGTCCAGCCAC